GCTGACAGTTAAATATTTCAAAATAGTGAGTAACAGAGGATTTTATAACATCCCCAACAAAAGAAATGATCTATGTTGGAGATGTTAGCCATAAGAATTATCCTAATTTGGTCATTCCACATCATATACATGTATTGAAATGTACTGAAATAAGTTCAATCACTATATGTCAATCACAAATAAAAAACGTATTTAAAAATACTGTCAGATGCTGTAAATAAACTAAAACCTTTATTTGCAGTAAATATTTACCTCTTCATTCTCTAAATTCACTTTTTCTCTTAAGAAAGAGTTGGCTACAATAAGGAGAGCTTCTTTTGGCCACTTTTCGTACCAATCAATTGTGCAGGAGCTAACCACAGACGGATACGCTCTACAGTACTGGCGGAAACGGGGTCCTGAAGGGCTCATGACCACAAAAACATGCAGGTTCACATATACTTTCTGAAAATGAATGCCAATATAAGCTGTTAAAATGCAACCCATCACTTTAAACGGTTATCTTGAGATTTCCACTTAACACTTGGTTTCATTAATGGCAAGACTAGCCTCAAGCCAATTAAGTTCCTGCCCAAATGGCGCAGTGGTTAAGGTCTTCTCCTTGCACACCCGGGATCCCATATAGGCGCTGGTTCTAATCCCGGCAGCCCCGCTTCCCATCCAGCTCCCTGCCTGTGGCCCGGGAAAGAAGTCGAGGACGGCCCAAAGCTTTGGGACCCTGCACCTGCGTGGGAGACCCAGAAGAGGCTCCTGGCTTCGCACTGGCATAGCACTGGCCGTTGCGCTCACTTGGGGAGTGAATCATCGGGGGGGGGGGGCGGGAAGATATTCCTCTCTGTCTCTCCTCTCTGTATATCCGCCTTTCCAATAAAAATAAAATAAATCTTTGAAAAAATAAAAAAGTTGCTGCCCAAACCAGAGCCCCTCCGAGGGAAAACGTGAGTTGCATGGAAGCCCTAGTGGGAGGACAACAGGTGGTTCAGCTACAGGTGGCTTAGATGGACTGGGAAGGGGAGGTGCTGGACTCAGGCAGAATATCCCTTGTGCAAAGCACATCTCAGGAATGTTCTGGGGCTTGAGCCCAGTTCAGCAAGACAGCATAAGGCAATGGATCTTACTTTGTAACTATTCTCTGGGTAGGTGTGCAAGTGTGTATGCACTTACGACCCAGAGAAATGCAAAGTGAGAAGATGGTCAGACAAAGCGCAGGTGGTAGGCAGAGGCACCAACAGAGCCTGACAGGATGGGCAAGGTGTCAAAGGAGGCGGCTACACCTCCCACAGCTACAGAATTCCAGCCAAGTAATACCAACTCCTGGCCAAGGCTGCAGATCCCAGGCCAAGTGTCGTTGAATTTGAAGTTTGTAGCCCTTTTCTTCCTAAGAGCTGGCCATGCTGCTGCTATCCCGGGGTTCTTAGCAAGACTGGCTTTGGAGTGTGATTCCTTCCTTCTTCTCTCACCTGTTACTTGGTAGTAAATCGCATTACTGACAGCAGCCTCAGAGGGTCAGGATTCTTTTCAATTCAAGAGTCCAACTTGGAGCACAAAAGGATACGACCTTCAAGTGCCAAGCCATCTATCTTGCCAAATGAGTACAGTAAAAGTGAAAGATGACTAGAAGATCAGATCTTTTCAGAGAGAGACAAAGAGTGGGAGGAAGAGAGGGAATACAAGAGACAGAGATATCTTTCACCCACTGGTTCACTTCCCAAATGTCTGTAGCCGACAGGGGCTGAGCCAGCCAAAGCCAGGAGCTCAGAACTCAACGTGGGTATCCCACATCAGTGGCTGTACTGGAGTCATCACTGTCTGTCTCCCAACACACGCATTAATAGGAGGCTGGATGGAAAATGGAGGTGGGATTTAAACTCCCACCTGATACAGGAGGTGTGTGGCAGCTTACATGCTGTGCCACAATGCCCATGCATTTTCCTGGAGTGCACTATTCTTCACACACCGAGTCAGAATGCCATTGTTCTTCCTTCTATTGAACCAAACAGTAATACATATGAATAATAAATAGTTAAAATCTAGTACTGGGATTCTGTATTACACTAACAAAGGACTAGAACGCCATAAATGATCATGGTAACTTCCAGCCTCACTGCTAACATGAAATTTTAAAATGTAACTGAATCCAGCATCCAGTCACATTACACTGCTCTATTTCTGAATTATTGTTAAACATCATCTGTGGTACACCAAGTATTTGTTGAGTAATGCCTGGTGGTTAACAGGATCGACGTTCAGATGATCCTTTGATACACAAAAACGGGCACAGCTGAGCCACAGAGTAACTCGTGGCCCATCCCAGGGGACATTTGTGCCTTGGGTCATGTCTTTCCATTCAGTGAGCTACTGATCGATTGTCATCATGCCAGAGACACACAGAAACCCTAATTCCCTCAGCTAGTGTCAACATCTCACAGCCACCTGCTGTTGGATCCATTCTCTGTATCCCCTTCTTTGTCTGGTCCATTTATTTCTCTTTGTATCTATTACCTCCTGGTTAACTTAAGGGCTGATCAAAGGGATGAAAAAAAAAATTTAGGGCCCGGCACGATGGCGCAGTGGTTAAGGTCCTTGCCTTGCACCCCCGGGATCCCATATGGGCGCCGGTTCTAATTCTGGCGGCCCCGCTTCCCATCCAGCTGCCTGCCTGTGGCCTGGGAAAGCAGTCAAGGACAGCCCAAAGCTTTGGGACCCTGCACCCGCATGGGAGACCCGCAAGAGGCTCCTGGTTTCGGACCGGCATAGTAGCAGCAGTTGTGCTCACTTGGGGAGTGAATCATCGGACGGAAGATCTTCCTCTCTGCCTCTCCTCTCTGTATATCCACCTTTCCAATAAAAGTAAAAAATCTTAAAAAAAAAATTTTTTTAAACTAATACAGCCCCAAACCCTTCATTAGCCAGGAAGAAATCTCAGTGGTCATTTCACCTTTCATTTGTTGTCTCCAGTTACTATTTCTTTCAAAAGTCAATGATAGACTCAGAACCATGTTCATGTTGGGTTGGCCCAGGGGTATGGTATGTGTGGGGTGGGTGGGTGGGCATTATTCTAAACTTGCATTAAAGAAACTAAGGAAGTTTTATCAAAATTGAAAACAATGTATAGTTATTAATATAGCTTCATTTTAATACAAAGTGATAAGTACCTTTTGGAATAACGCAAGTAAAGACTGTCTATCATCCACGTAGCCAGGATCTTTAACCAATGTTCTGATTCTGATTATGATGTTGTCCAACTCCTCATTTTCAAACAAGTCAGGCATTTTCCTTGAGTTGACAAGGCAATTCAAATCTTCCAAAATGAATGGCTTTGGAGAAAAACATGGTTAGAAATAAACAAATTATTCATATATTCTACTCTGCACACATCATCTTGAGAAAGTCATAGTACCAAAATGAAAATAAGGCTTTTTAAAAAACAAGCTAAACTCTTAATTTAAAGCCATCAAAACATTTTTTTTTAAGTTAAAAAGGCTTTATTCAGCTATTCATTCACTCAAACATTAAAAAAAAAAATAAGCCTGGTATTGACGCTATGCCAAACACCTGTGTTGGAGCAGGAGTTTTGAAACAGTGGGCACATAACACACTGGATGGGACCCCTGCTTCAGGCAGCCTACACTTGTGTTTGAATAGCAGACAAGCTAGGAAAAACACAGCTGCTCTAGGGCTCCCAGGACAACGGGGAAGGTAACAGATCAGGGCTGGGGGAAGGTCTACTGGGAGGGTTATTATAAAAGCCAAAACATTTTGCTTTTCAGAATAAACCCAAGCTTCCCTGAATATAAGTGTGTCACAACACTTGGGTTTACCAATCAAAAAATGACCTGAAAGAAAAAAAAAAAATAAAGTAGTATGGGGTAGGCCTAGCATTAGAGGCTTGAAAAGCAATTAAATCTACATGTATATCTGGGTCATAAATAACAAATGATATTTCTAGGAAACATTGCCACAAAGGAGTAAGTGCCATCCAGATGGCATTCCAAGTGATTTTTTTTTTTCTTTTTGGCTGTGACTGGCCATATCTGGAGCAAAGTAACAGGGCTAAAAAAAAGGAGGTGGGATGAACACTTTTTTTTTTCTAGCAGGTAAGGAAATGTATCTTTTTTAAAAAAAATATTTATTTATTTTTATTGCAAAGTCAGATATATAGAGAGGAGAAGAGACAGAGAGGAAAATCTTCTGTCCAATGATTCACTCCCTAAGTGACTGCAATGACCAGTGTTGCCCTGATCCGAAGCCAGGAGCTAGAAACTTCCTCCAGGTCTCCCACGCAGGTGCAGGGTCCCAAGGCTTTGGGCCGTCCTCAACTGCTTTCCCAGGCCGCAAGCAGGGAGCTGGATGGGAAGTGGAGCTGCCAGGATAAGAACAGATGTCCATATAGGATCCCAGTACATTCAAGTTGAGGACTTTAGCTGCTAGGTTACCACACCAGGCCCAAAAATGTATCTCTCAAGGAAAGTCCTAAACCTATTGTCAAGTGAGCAGAAGAAAGACAAAGAGCCAGAGTAACTACAGATGACAAGTGTGCAGGTCACACATGGTGGGGCACACATCATTGCTTTGAATACGCTGACAGAACTCAGGTATTGCAACCACCTCCAGTCTTCAGTTAATATTTGCATGATGAAGACACAGGAGCTATTTTCAAGTCATGTTTATTCAAAGCATCTACAATTTGTGGGTTATGACTGGATGAAGTTGGATAAGACGGGTTGGTAGAACTACAGACATCATTTTCTTATTTTCCATGAATTATTAAACTTCTCAGCAAAGGGCTATGTAAATGAAAATGTAAGAGATAATAATAATAAAAAAAAGGCCTTACTTGATCTAGGTGTAAGTTAGGCACCACCACCACAGTGGGGTTCCCTTCTAGACCTGCTTGAATAAAAGCCTTTTTAACGACTTCTCTGAACTCTGTGTACCCAGAGCTGGGAGACTAAGGCACTCGATAAAGTTTGTGTTCTTTTAAGGAACAGGCCAAGGTTGTGCAACTGTCTTTTCCACATCCCTCTGTCCCAATCTGTGGAAGAAGAAAAACAACAACACACCCTATGATTCCGATATATTTTTGGAGAATTCTTTAGGGGATGGTGTTTTCTTTTTTATGTTTAGCATGTCAATAATAAAAATATCTAACAATATTTTCATTTATTATTTTTTAGGACATAGGCTTCAATGTTTAAACATTTAATCAAGTTTGTAAGGCATTCATTCACATCCAGTATTTTCATTTGTTCTCTTTATACCCTCTGAAAATTCCAGGAAATGATCTCGTTGGAAAGATAATTGGGAAAAACAGCACATGGAGGCTTAAAAATCCCTGCTGTATCACTGTTGATACTGAATTCTTCACTGATAATAAAGCAGATGGTATTTTCCCATTCCTGATATATGCTTTCTGGCAAGCACAGCAGGTATTACCTTTTAAAAGCAGCTTCACAAGAGCGTAGTTCACACACTACATCGATGCACAAGTCAAATATTTTCTAGGAAATTCACATATTTATACACCCTTACCACAATCCCGTTTTAGAATTTCCATTACTTTAAAAAGATCCTTTGAATCCATTCATGGTCAATTCCCGTTCTGAAGACTAAGCTGCAATGGTCACTAAGTTGCTTTGTGTTTGGGGTTTTATGTAAGTGGGATTATGCAACATCAAGCCTATGGCATCTACTTTCTCTCACTTGCCAGAACAGTTGTGAAGTTCTTTGTATCTACAGTTTGCTACTTTTTGTGTTGAACAACATTCTGTTGTATGGACCTACCTACCACAATTAGTCTGTTCACCCCTGAAGGTCATTTGGTTGGTTCCTACTTCTTGGCTATTCTGAATGATGTTGCTAAGGAGATTTGCGTACAAGTCTGTGTGCACATTTGTTTTATTTTCTCTTCTGTAGATATATAGGACTGGAATTTCTCAGCTATCTGATAAATCTACATGACACTCTGTAAGAAATGCACAAACCATTTTTCAAAATAGCTATATTTTACAATACCACTAACAATGCCTGAGAGTTTAGTTTACCTGCTATACTGTCATTATCTTCTTGATTATAGTTTAAGTTCATTGCTTAGTACTCTTGTGGACTTAATTTGTATTTCCATCACTAATGATGCTGGACATGTTTCCATGGGCTTATTAGCCATTTGTATAGCTTTGATAAAACACCTATTCAACTATTTGTCCATTACGATAAATTTATTTTACAAGAGTATTACATTTCTACAAAAATTGCAGATGGTGCAAAAACTTTCTGCATACCCTACAGTTTTCCACATAATTCCTATCTAACCTTAGTTCAGAGAATTTATCGAAATTAATAAATCAACATTAGTATGTTTTCACCAGTTGAGTCCACACTTGATTCATTCATTTTTACCCAATATCCCTTTTCTGCTATAGGAGCCCTGCAGGATACCCCATTTCACTTACTGTCTCCTTTAGGCTCCATTGGTTGGGACTGAGTCCCAGACTTGTTTCTGAGGATTGTACAGTTTTACTGACTAGGACTTTTGTGGAATGCCTCCCAGAGGGAACTTTCCTGATGTCTTTCTCTTGTTTATACAGAGGCCACAAAAGGTGACATCAAAAATTTCAGGGAAATAAAAAATATGTTTATTCTGACGGAAAAATTTTAACATCAATGCACAGTTTTTATAATCTAACTACAGTTCATTGGCTTACTGAAAGGCCAACTCAATTGCTTCCAGTACTGGGTGCTCATGACTAAAGTTGTTACACTCGTTTGTGTGCATGTGTATGCTTGGGCATAACTTTTCTTTTTTTAAAAAAAAAAAGATTTATTTTATTTTTATTGGAAAGGCATAAGTTTTCAAGTCAGCTGGGTAAATACGCTCGCTGGCTCATATGGCGGGGCTATGTTTAGCCTTTGAATGAAACTGCCAAACTGTCTTCCAAAGTGACTGTGCCACTTTGCATACCCACCAGCAATGAAGGAAGAGTCTGTCACTCTGTGTCATTACCAGTGGCTGCTTTGATCAATGCTGTGGATGCTGGTTCCTGCACAAGGCTTTCCATGATTTCCTTCTGTTGCTGCCCCATGGGAAAATTGACAGGGAGCATTTTTACACAACCATCTGTGGGGCATTTGCTTACTTTTAATGGGATTTTTAATAACTAGGACAATGCGGAAGGTGAATGAAGACAGGATTATTCCTTTTCTTTTAGTTTGGATGTCCTTTCTCTCCTTACTTTGGCCTAATGGTACTGACCACGACCTCTAGTATTGTGTTACATAGAAATTGTTTTTTTTTTTTAAAGATTTATTTTTTATTTTTATTGGAAAGGCGGGTATATAGAGAGGAGAGACAGAGAGGAAGATCTTCCGTCCGATGATTCACTCCCCAAGTGAGCACAACGGCCAATGCTATGCCGGTCCGAAGCCAGGTGCCTCTTCCAGGTCTCCCACGCAGGTGCGGGGTCCCAAAGCTTTGGGCCGTCCTTGACTGCCTTCCCAGGCCACAGGCAGGGAGCTGGATGGGAAGCGGGGCCGCCGGGATTAGAACCAGTGCCCATATGGGATCCCAGGGCGTGCAAGGCGAGGACCTTAACCACTGTGCCACCACACTGGGTCCATTACATAGAAATTGTGAGGCATAGGGCTGGAGTTAGAGCATAGCAGGCAAAGCTGTACCTGTGACACTGGAATCCCATATGGACACCAGTTCGAATCCTGGCTGTTCCACTTCCAATCCAGCTCCTTGCCAATGGCCCAAGTGCTTGGGTCGCTGCATCCATATGGGAAACCTGGAAGAAGCTCCTGGCTCCTGGTTTCCGTCTGGCCCAGCCCTGGCCATTGTGGCCATTTAGAGAATCAGCAGACAGGAGATTTCTCTGTTTCATCTTATGTGTTTAACTGTGCCTTTCAAACAAATATAAATAAACCTTAGAAAAGAAATTTTGAGGCACAACATTTTTGTTTTGTTTCCAATCTTAGGGGAAAAATACAGAATCTTTTACCATTAAAACCAATCCTGCCTGCCAGTCTTCCTTCCCCCCTCCCTTTTCCCCTTCTTCCTTCTTTCCTTCTTCTTTCTCTCCCTCCCTCCCTCTCCCCCTCTCTTTCTGAAAGGTTGTCTTTCTCTCTCTTTTCTTTTCCTTTTTCTTTCCTTTTCTTTCTTGGATAAAGTTGCTGCCTGTAACATTCACGACCTGACTGCCTCACTTCTGATACAGCTTCCTGCTAACTCACCCGGGAAAGCAGAAGACCTTCCAGATGCTTGGGCCCCGCACCCATGTGGGAGACCTGCAAGAAGTTCCTGGCTCCTGGCTTCACATTCCTGCCTCTTGCAGTCACTTAGGGATTGAACTGAGGATGGACGATTCCTCTCTCCTTTCTCTATAATTCAGCCTTTCAGAAAAACAATTCAATCATATAAATAAAAGTTAAAAAAATCAAAAATAAAATAAGAGAAAAAAGCCACAGTCCATCTTGGAATGCATCCAGGAGAATGGACCTGCTAGTTTCAAGGCAGCCTAGATGGCCGGGGCTCAGACCCTGGCAATGGGCAGTCTTCAATACTGCCTTGAGCCCAGGAGTAAGCAGGTCACAGACCTTGGGCAGCCAGCCCCTCAGTGCCCTCAAACCTCGGCCACAAGGTCCTGACCTTCTTGGGATCCTGGCCAAAATGTCACTCTTTGTGAAGCCACTTCACAGCTTTTGAGATATCACTGTCATTTCAACATTGTGTATATCTAAGATGTACAACTTGGTGTTTCATTAAATGTATACACTGAGAAATGTTCATAATAATCAAGCTATTTAGCATACCCATCCTGTGTGTGTGTGTGTGTGTGTGTGGAGAGAGAGAGAGAGAGAGAGAGAGAGAGAGAGAGAGAGAGAAGGAGAAACACCCAACCTCTGGACTTATTTCAAGGCAATGCAATTAATTGTTTTTTCCCCCTTATAACAGTTTTGTTTCTTTTAATACAATCTTTATTAAAAGTCTAGTTCTTTTGCATAATATGTTGTAACAACATTTAAGACCAATGCCTTAAGTATTACTTAAATGTTTTATTTTTCTAGTAAACAATACAATCTAGTGTAGATATGCAACATTTAAAGAATCATGCATGATTTTTTCATTGTATTTCCTTACCTAATTAAACTAACATCATCGGAAATCTCCTATTGAGGTCTTGGTTATTTCATTATTTCTATCTGCTTTAAATGTTACTCATTAAATTATTAAGCTCCCCTCTCAGCTGCTTTTCCCTGCCTAATTCCACATGCTAGAATAGCAGTTAGAGCACCATTTTGCAAAAACGTACCACGTATTTGATCCAGGCCAAAAATGTACCTATGATGCTTTTAGTAATAATAGAATCAGAGGAAGCAGGGACTTGTCGGATATTTTCAATAAGGGATTATGTTTTAATAAGGGTTCTGGGAGGGTAATTAGGTTCATGAGAGACTGGGAAAATGATTAGGTAGGCAAGATTAGTGTGGGGTTTTAAAATTTGCTGAGAAAACATTCTCAGTAATTTTGTCATTGGGAACATGTTGTAAGTGTTCTTGTTGGCACGAAAGGGTTGATTTAACAAAGAAAGAATTTGTAAAAGGCGGTAAAAGAAGTAAACAGAATACCTACCATTTGAGAATAGAAAAGCAACCCATGAAGAGCTGAAGTAAGACACACAAAATCATAGCCTTTACAAAGCTCGTGTTTTAAATGAGGCAACAGACACCAAGTAAAAAAAAAAAAATACACACATACATACACATATACACGAGAGAGCAGATATTGCCAAGAACTACCAAGTAAAATAAAGTGGACTGCAGGTCCAGAGCGACAGGGCCGAGGGGAGGGGGAGTGCCATGCTCTTTCAGATAAGCAGCAGCAAGGTTATCCCACAGATCCACGGGAAGATGATGCTGGCCTAGACAGTGGTGGCTGTGGAGACAAGTGGACAGATCTGGGATACATTCTGCAAGCTGCGTTGCGGACTTGCTGGTGGAGAGTCTGTGAAGAATGATGGGGGTGGTGGTGACTCGGGTTTCTGCTCAAGGCAGTGGACATATGCTGATGCTTTTTATGAGATCGGGAAGGTTAGCAAAGGAGTGGTTTTGGTGATAGAAAATTTGCTTTAGATTTTTTTCTCGAGTCCATTTTCCAACTTTCAATTAGTTTTGTTGTGTCTATCTAAATAAATGAGTATCCGGATTGCACCCAAGGGGGGGGGCATGTGCTCTCATGGCATGTTCAATGCCAGTTTGGATGTCCGTAACACCTACTGGAGTGCCTGAGTTTAAGTCCTGTCTCCACTCCCAACTCCAGCTTCCTGCTACCATGCAGCCGGGGAAGGCAGCGGAGGATGGCTGCACCAGCTCGGTCCCTGCCACTCAGGGCAGTGGCCTCGATTCTGTTTCTAGCTCCCGCTTGCTGTGGGCATTTGGGGATTGAACTGTCACTCTCTTTGTCTAGGCTTCTCAGTTAAACAGGAAAAAGGACCATAACCTTAAAAAAAATGAAGCTTTATCTATTATGGGTGCAAGAAAATTCCTTTCTGGAAAAAAAAAAGCATGGAACAAATAATTAAGCAATTGTAAATAAGGTATAAAGTAAATAACTAAAAAGCAGGCAAGCATAATAAGTCATAAAATATGCTTTATGTTACTGGCTAAATATATGAGATTTTATTTAGCTTTCCAGAAATCTTCCCGTATTTTAAGTACTTGGAAATTTTCTAATGAACTCAACTCCTATTTGTTCTCATGAGAAGTGAGATTTTTACTGAACATGTCTGAACTTTTCTGAACCCAAACCTAAGGAAGCGCACTGTGTTTGAAGTCAGGATCCACCTGCAAACTCTGAGGATGCATGGGACATGCTGCCTGGTTGCCACTTTTATTCACATCAAATGCTCCCCAAAACAAACAACACCTTTATGGACAAATTTACAAACACTGTAGTTAGAATAAAGACACTGTTCCATGACTCAGTGTTTTTCATAAAGTTGTGAATAAGATATCCATAGACAACTTATATCTTTCTATAGTTCTTAACTGTAATTTGCAAAATTCAAGCCATTTGAAGCGCTGAAGTTCTTACCAGTAACATGTGACCCCCAGGCTGTCGAAGAACCCTTGCCGTTCTTACAATATGCTGGATGGCCTCCTTGAAAAACACCATGGGATAAGAGATCTAGCAGAGGGAATATGACAAAAAAACTGATCACAGGTGTGGAAAAGTCAAGCAAATACGCATTGTCATTTCACACGCAAGGAAATAACACTGATCTTGATTCAGTACTCTGGTTTTTGCTAAGTTTTTGTGATCATCTCTCTGCATATACTCCATAAAGCAATATAAGGAGGGGAGTCCCAGAATTGAGAGAAAGGAAGTTACAAGTAATTATAACATCAATTATTAATTGGAAAGAACAGTAGTACCCAGGCTGCTTTTTCTATCAGTCTCTTTCAGTAGACAGGTCTAACGAAGGGAGGAAGAAAACTGGTTTCTGGCATGCGTGATTTCACATGTGGCTCTGTCCACGCATAGCTATGTGACACTGTGAAGACACAGCTATTCCAGTGTAATGTGTTGCCAGATGTTGCGAACTTCTGCTGCAAACTTTTTAAAGTTTACTAAACTCTATTAACTCAACTCTCCACAGCCTCTAGTGCTAAATAACCTGTTTTTAAAATGATATTCTGTTGAGACAAAGTAAGAGGAAATAATAGAATATGATGTTGTAAAAATGGTTTGCTTTGAAATCTTAGGGCATATTTACTTGCCTCTGCTGTTCTCTCTCCCAAAATATCTTAAAAATATTTGAGGTACATGGATATGTGTGTGCGCGTGTATCAATGAACACATGCAGACACAGCACCTGTCAGGTTTATAAAGAGCATAAAATGGGTTCTTCCATATGTCCTTACCTCTGTGAACTTGGAACCCAACTTCATTTGGAATTCATTAAGTACATTGGCAAGCCTATTATAGTCCCTGGTATGCTGATAGATCTTTTTTCTATGAATCTTGTTGACATCCAAGAAGTCCACAAATACAGTTGGATCATTCATCAGGTTTTCTGGAGTCCACGAAATCTATAGTAAGATAAGGATTTAACACTACAGTTAACAGCACAATCTCCCTTGTTCTTGAGACTAACATAACATACCTCAGTCACTGAAGCTCCTGGTGCGCTGGCCTCACAACTCCAGTTCTCAATCCTTTTTGTGCCTTGTAGCCCTTTTAGCAGCAAAGCCAGGGACTCTCCTTCAAGAATATTATTTTTAAATCCCTCCAGTAAAATACAAGGATTACAAAGGAAATACGACACACAGAAATCATAATTCTAAGAATGCGGGGTGTCTGTGGACCCCAGGTTAAGGACCCCTGTAGTTGGAAGTATCTTGTAGTTCTACCGACAATCTTGGAAAAGGAAGTGACAGTTGAATGTTTTTCCCACTGTCTGCTTAAACTCTTGGCTATCTTTCACGCTAAGGCTTTGGACAACTTTCTCTTTGAAGTCTGACCACTTTTTCTCTGCTTTAAAATCAGGTAAGGTACTTTACTCTCTGCGTCTCTGCTCCCCAAAGTGGTGTGTGCACAGGTCTACAGCAGCATTTGCAGAAAGGGCTTGCACCTGTTAGCTGTGAGGTGCCCAGAGGCAGGGTCCACACTGGTTTCAAGTAGTCCTCCTCACTTACTTCACTTGGTATTGGCACTGGAAATTCCTGATAGGTGTTAGGAAGGCATTTCCTCAGCAAATGGCTAGATGAGGGTTGAATGAAGGTACAGCATGCTGGCTAAGACAACACCAGGTGTCAGACAGTTGCTGGACGCAAAGGGGAACAGCCAGGACTTGAACTGGTGCCCTTGAAGGATGCCAGCTATAATCTGCTATTTAATCCTCTGCATGCCAGTGCCAGGCTCCAGAAAGAATTCTTAAAAGAAGCCTCCTGAATTTGTGACTTATGTCAAAAACATGTATGTATTCATATACACAGAGGAATAGGCCTACATATTTGTAAACATGCTATTATCTAAGTTTTGTTTGTTTTATACTCTGGGTCTGTGTGCAGAACTATCTTCATCTCCACATAACAAGCTTTTTTAATCAAAAATTACCTTTTACCATCACAAGACATGCCTGTACTTTTGAATGTATGGCATTTCTCGGGTGAGAGAAAGCAGCAGTGCACAAGAACAGAGACAAAAAGCAGAGGCACCTTGGGGGAGGAAGTGTTTGCATTGCTTTGTGCAGAGGTAGTCCAGACAGACAGGGGGCACCTTCCTGCTCGCCCCCTTTGTGGGGGAAAGTGCTATGGAAACACTTTCCCCTGGGACTTGGGCTGACAGGCAGCTGGAAACCCAAGTGCTTAGGGATGGGAGATGGGAGGGGAGTCTTTTTGGGGCAACAGATACTGTGAGGCTTGGAGAAACCTGAAAATTACAGCTGCGCAGAGGCCACAAGCGCAAGTGAAGGTCTCACCACCTGATCCTTGCCATCTTCTCTTGAGCTGTGCTTCCAGAAACTTCCAGGGGAAAAAGAAATTACCCAGGAAGTCTCTCTTGGGGACAACAGAGCATTGTTTGCAGACTTTGTACTAAAGCAGCATTTTGGATGAACACCTCATTTAAAACAGCCTTTTTCATTTCATTTTATTTCATTTTATTTATTTCTTTTATTCTATTTTCTTCTATTCTATTCTGTTCTGTTTTATTTTATTTTATTTTATTGTAAGCTTACCTGAAAATAGCTTTCTATGTCCTTGGCCAGCAGCTGATAGAAAAGGCATCTTTCCGTGGGCTCTGTGAGGCGGTCGTGGAACACGCGGGTCGCTTCGTGAGCCAAGAGCAGGGCAGCCCTCTCTACGGAGGTGATGACAGTCTTGTCCGCTTGCAGCAGTCCTCGCAGGAGCTGGTGGGGTTCAAAGGACACGTTACAGGGCTACTGGGCATCAGCAGGGCAGCGCGCCATGCCAGGGCCCCTTCTTGGCGGCTTTCCTTTCCTTAAAAAATAGAAGCAATTATTCAGGCTGACAGTGAACGACTTCTACAAGGGAGGACCTGAATTGTGGATGAGATGGCAAGGTTATAATGGGCATGGAATCACTCTTAGGGTGGTGGGGTACTTTAGAAGCGACTCCACTGGGTCTTGTGGGGGCCTTGATAGGATGGGAAACCACAGGCCTTCGGAGGTAGGTGCTGCAGTGACAGACACATCCCAAGGCTGACCTACTGTGGCATCCTCAACTTGGGTTTGAGTAAAAGGCCTGATAGCCCATTTCAAAGATTCCATGAGCCGATAAGGCAAAGGTCCCACATGGAAGCTACAAAGCTTAAGCATCACTTCCCCAGGCAGGTGTTTGTTTTTGATATTAAGATGCTCACATCCTGTACTGCAGTACCAGGGTCTGATCCCTGGCTCCGATCCCAGTTTTTACTTCTTGTTAATGCAGACCATGGAAGCAGCAGGCAACAGCTTGTGTTGGGGTTCCTGCTCCTCCAGAAAACCCAGATTTGAATTCCCAGCTCCTGGTTTCACCCTCCTGGCCACTGTGGGCATTTTGAGAGTGATCCAGTGGATACCATCCCGGCCTGTCCATCTCTCTTCATAACTGTCTGTCTGTCTGTCTCCCTCTCTCTCTCTCTCTGCCTGCTTTTCAAATAAATGTAAAAAAAGATTTACTTTTCTTAACACTTTCAGTTTGAACCCCATTTGTCTATAACAGATCTCCAATTCTTTTATGCTAACTAATGGGAGCAGCTGCTAACAGCACAACTAACATGAGTTTTACCTCTTTTTCCTTTGTGACAATTTCATGCTGACAGTATCATGATTTCAGAAATGGGGTGGGGGTTAGAAAGCAGAGAAGGAAGAGTAAGAAAGAAGGAAGGAAAGTTAATTTAAAAGTGCATTTCAGCTTAAAATTTTAAGTTAGAGAACAAATTTTAAGACAAACCTTAAACACATCTCGCAGATTAAACATGTAGTGACATTTTGCTGGAGTTGGTAACATGTTCTGAGACACATGCTGGTATATATCCACAGAACAACATGTTATCATATCTTTGCTTTTCTGAACATCAGACGTGAAGTTATTGAGTGCGAAATAGATTCCCAAATGAGCCTTTAAAAAGAAATACTACCATTGAGTTTGCCAAAGCTTTTATGTTGATGACAGCTGTTCTCTATTAGAAAGCAGACCAGTTTACTGTCAGAGGACTAATTTTGACAAATGCTAATAATTAAAACATATTTATGATATGATGGTGGAATAGGAGCAAGACATTCTGGGTGATGTAAACTGGGGACAAAGCGGATGGGAGACAGGAGCACCTGTGTGTTCTGTGGAGACGATTCATGCCTCACCTCTGATCCCACCAGGTGGTCAAAGGATTTCTCCTACCTTCGTTCCCCAGTGGGAACTAGTAGGAGAAGAATAAAAGGTAAATTATTACCACAGTCTGGAATGGTGCACATTTAAAAATGGTTCAATTTCATTTCTTATGTGATCAGAAACACAGATTTTATACAAGATGACTAAATTCTTCAAAACTAGCTGCATGTCTTTTCTTTATAATATTTAAAGGTAAAATTGTAAATCCATTTTTTCACAAGCACATGGTAAGTGTGACGCAGGTGACCAATCACTCACGCCTGGAAAAAGCGGCCGTATTTTAAGACCGCATTCATGTATTCCAATCCAGACTGAGGGAGAAGTTTGCTCAGTGTTTTTTCTTCTACAAGAAAATGAAAAGAACAGATCAATGCTGCTAAGTTAGGATGTGCCTGCGATTCCAAAGACCCATTCCAGGTCTAATAGATCAGAATCTCAGGGGAATAAAATCCTGGGATTTGCATATTGAACATGCACGACAATAGGGCACAAAATAGAGGGGAAAATAAAATGTATCTCCTTAAGAGGACGATGTTCCCATGTTAGTGGCATTGAGTCCTTACATTTTTTTTTCTTATACTTTGGAATTTTTTTCCCCCAGAAGATTAACTGGATATATTACCTGAAAAATACTGCACAGGGCACTTTGTGGAGGATGAGGCATTACCAATACGGAAAAATGCATAAGGAGACGCGGGCTAATGTCGCTCCCACCAATCAGAGGAACACAACACGTGACAATGGAGAGATCTTGGATGTTCTGTGGGAAGAGCAAAAAGGAAGCATAGATAAATGCATCTGCAGCAAACGAAATACTCACCCAAACCTCGCCACAAACGGACACAAGACTTAAAACACAGCGAAAGCAAACTGATGGCAATGACAGTTTGCTGCAAGACAAAAATTTAGATGGCAACACAAATCTATCTGAAGTAACTACCTAAAACAAAATTTTGAGGCATTATTTCTTGAAATTTTTCTAAAAGTCATTAGGCTACAGGCCTTAAAAAAATACAAAAAGTCACCTGAAACTCTTGGGGTGTTCAGAGTGAAACACAGCTAACGCTTCATGACACTGGTCTGAGCCAGGACTTTTTTGTGGATTACAACTCCAAATCAGGCAACAGGAGCTCAGACAACCAGAATTAGGTCAGAAAGTTTCTGAATAGCCAAGCAAGCAGTTAACAGAGTAAAGAGACAAGAGAGAATTTTTGCAAACAATGCATCTGACAAGGGTTACTCCCAGGATATTTTAAGAGCTGAACATGGCCATAGCAAAAACCAAATAATCCAAGTTCTGGAATCAACATAATGAACAAATGAATGTATAAAGAACGTGTGTGTGTATGTGTGTGTGTGTGTGCATGTGTGTGTGAGAGAGAGAAAGAGAGAGAGAGAGAGAGAGAGAGAGAGAGAGAGAGAGAGAATTTCCTTCCTTCGAAAGACTGAGAAGTTTTATCTACCAGTGACTGCGTGGATGGGCCCGGAGGACACTATGTCAAGTGGAATGAACCAGGCACAGCAAGAAAGACACCGCGTAATCTCATTGATTTGTGGACTCTGCAAAAAGTTGAGCAGGAGAGGTTGGGAAATGGGTGCAAAGGAACAGCAACAAATTCTAGTTATGGGGAATGAATTCTAGTCACCTATTTCATAGTAGGTTAACTATAATTAACAAGAATACAGTTACATGCTTAAAAAAAGAAGATTTTGAATATTCTCACCACAATGAAATGATAAATGTTTAAGAAGGTGATGGATATGTTAATTGCTCTAATTTTGTTAACATGTTGAACACCTATATTGAAATATACTATAAGCTATAAACAGGTACAGTTAATGCATGTCAATTAAAAA